CAGTCTGGGTTATAAAGTAATCTGCATAAACAATCTTAATCCATCAATCTGATTAAAACAAGGCCCCACTGCATGACCACTCCTGTGTCTCCAGTATGCTATCAGTGGAGGGGGTGAATCACACAGGTGTCTGGGTTCTCTGAGTTGTTTGTAAAAAACAACAACAACAACAACAACAACTGTATACCACATTTATATTGCAGCTGTTATGACTTTGTTTTCTCTGAAATGAGTTAAGAGGTGATGCTTCATGTGTCAGGTCACTTTGATGAGACAGCTAATCTGTATTTAGCCTCCACCTGTCAATGTAGACACTCATCTCTTTCCCAAACATAACAGCATGGCAGTTTTCCAACACAAAGACAGCATTTACTTTACTACACTAGAACAGAATTACACAAATATGCAAAACCAAAATGCTATATTTTATAGTGCTTTTTTAAACTTATAGGAATGCATCTTTCAAGTAAAGGAATGAGGACCTTGAATGTTTAGTGGAGCAAGACATAACTGTTTCCTTAGAAGAATGTTGGAGTTGGCTGCAATCACATTGAGAAAGACAAAACCACAATGCTGTAAGTGCAAGCTGACACCGCTTTGACTGAAAGTGTGTGTGTGTGTATGTGTGAGGGGTCAGAACAAGTCAGATGGGTGTATAGGAAGCGGTGGATCAGAAAGTGAGATTGTTTCACAAGAATATCTGTCCCCAGTGACCCCATAGGCGAAAAAAATGTAAAGTGATCCTATCCTGCAAGGTTACTGGATCTCTGTGTATCATCATCATCATCATCATTAGTCTCCCCTAAAGTGGAGACATTTCATCGCTTGTTATTTCATTTGGGTTCGACGTGCATTTAGTCACTACATTTTATTTTTTTTACGCAAATACTACTAAGTAAAAACGTCCCTCTGTGATGTCAATGAATTTGTCACACCATTCATATCTGTGACAAATTCCTGCATCTGGTTTAGCTGCAATATAGAAATGAGTCAACACATCTCCGCCCCTACATTTCCTCTGGGAAACGCCTCACTCAGCTATAAAATCGGGTCTGGCTGGGATGGTCAGCAGAGCAGAAAAGATCGTTGGAGTGGAAGCAAAAGTTGCACAATGGAGTTTTGCACGTTAAAGCTATTTACGGTTTTATTCTCGTTTTACAGCGTTTTGGCGTTGCCACAATGGTTGCCACCTACAGGTAACAGAGGTAAAGAAACAAGCAGTATTTTATCGTGTCCTCAGTTTGTTTATGGAACTCTTTAATTGTTAATGATATTTGTTGTCATTTTATCACGGGCATAAGACCTGTTGCCACTGTTTTATACAAAGTTGTAATTAAAATATGGCGGGTAGGCTACTTCATGCGCAGCAGCGCGTAAAGCTTAATGCCAGTATGCTCTTCAACAATGTTCTTGCTGTTTTCAGCTGCGTGTCTCCTTCAAGTGGACGATGGACCTTGCAGAGCAGCAATTGAGCGCTATTACTACAACACTTTCACCCAAAAGTGCGAGATTTTTTACTATGGAGGCTGCAAAGGGAATGCCAACAATTTCAACAGTTATCAGGAGTGTCAGAAGAGTTGTTTCAGATTCCCAAGTAAGTTCCCAGTGTGATGAGCGTTATTTACAAGAAGGGGGCCTTGGCCCCCTCTGAGAGCTACTGTATAAGTGTAGTGGGTGTGGTTGTACTCTATTTTTATTTGAGAAAACCTTACTTGTACAATAAAGCATTCATTATTATAATCCAATAATAGAATATACTGTACATTAATGTGAACTGTGCCATTCTGCATATTGAGTACTTTTACTTTTGGTACTTTTTTTGGTACATTTTGATGATTATACTTTTATATAATTAACATTTTGAATGCATGACTTACTTATAACAGAGTATTTTTACACTGTGGCATTGATACTTTTACTTAAGTAAACAATCTGAGTTCTTCTTCCACCACTGTTAATCTCACCCTCAAATGCTGTCCTTCTCCCCAGAGATTCCCCAGATCTGCCGGTACCCTAGAGATGAGGGACCATGTCGTGCTCTCTTTCTCAACTACTTCTTCAACATGACCACAATGCAGTGTGAGCCATTTTATTATGGTGGCTGCCAAGGGAACCCCAATCGCTTCAAAGACCACACCTCTTGTGTGGAGTACTGCAGCCCTCGAAAACGTTAGTAGCCACATATTTACTCTGACATGCTGCCACTGAGTAATCTTGAAAAAAAAGAGACGTTGTTCTCTTCCTGCATGGATTACAGAGTGACAACAGTACTGCTAAATTAAAACACTGAAATACCAGATGTGATTGAATTGCAAAAGTTTGAATTATAATGTTAACAAAGAAAGAGAAAACTTGTGTTTCAGGTGCAATGTAATGGTAGTACTGAGAAAAAACTTCATACAAAAAGAATCCTCCTCCATGCCTTTGTGAGAATTCACAGTGAAGAAAGATATTTCAGTCATAGGAAAATGATTAAACAATCTGAGAGGAAAAACATGATTTTACTGTTGAAAAAAGCAATTAAATCCTTGTCTTTGTTCTCCTCTTCAACGTCTATGATTGACAGTCTCACTGTGTGCATTGTGGTTTATTTTACAGCTTTGTCTGTGCTCTGCCTGGACCCTCTGGACAAAGGGAAGTGTTCAGCCTCCATAACACGATATTACTACAACAAAGACAAAAAGATGTGCGAGGAGTTCACCTACACCGGCTGCGGAGGGAGCAGCAACAACTTTGTCTCGAGGCAGGACTGCATGGACGTGTGTGTTAAAGGTGTGTGAGTGTGAGTGGGGAATGCATGGACTGAAACTTTTTAACACAGTGAAGCCTGTAAATGAAGATGATCATTTGAGGAGAATCTGCAGACTCAGTAATTCAGTCATGACAGTATTCAGATTGGCACTTAGGTCACTTGTTAGTATGAATATGGAGAATTCAGAAAATCAGAGGGGAACTGGAAGGATCACAAAAAAATGCTCCACTGATGTCATTATCGGGCTTAAAAATGCTTGGCATCTGAAGAAACCATTAGTATACAAGGATAATCTTCTAAACCATTTATTCACTACAGCTGATCATTAAATTGTGACCAAGTAGAATCTGCCTGTACAAACTTCTGTTTTCTTAATTATAACTATAGAGACACAGCAAGCATTAGCAGTAAAGCTTATCATACTAATCAGCTGTTTTTCACCTTTTTGTTCCAGGAGGGAGACAGCGCATAGGCCAAGGAAAAGTATATCGCATGAGACGGAACAGAAATAATTCCAATACTTTCTTGCAGGTGTAGACATCTGATGTGTGTTCTTAGGGATTCTCACTTGGACAAGACCATAATGGAAGCTAACATTTAATAAAATAACTTTGTTTACATCAAAGTGTGGACCAGGTTTACTTTGTTGTTGCTGAGCAATTTTTCAAATGTGAGTTTTGCTGTTTGTTATTACTGCAACAATGTTCCTGAATTTTGATACTGTATGTATGTTTTGTATAAGTAATAATGCATTATTATAGTGAACCTTTTGTATTACTTTCTTATTCTTATAGCACTTTTTTACAATATACACTACTGTATAAGTAATAGCATTAAATTAAATCTTTTTTTGCACTTTCATGCTCTTGTGGTCTTTAAGTGACTGTATTGTGTTATATAATTAACTAACATAAAATGAATACACTGCAACTTCTTCAACCGCTGCTTTGTGTTACAATAACCTTTAAGAGTGCCTTAAACATTGTCTTAAAAAGTGCATTACATTTAATGAAGCACAAAAACAGAGCAGATAAAAACAGAAAGCTTGGGCTGGTTGCTTCACTTTCCATCAGTCACTTTCAATAGATCTCAATGCCTCTCCCATTCCTAAGCAATGCCGCTGTCTTCCCTTCTTATCTGCTAATACTTCGCAAGGCAGTTGAGCCTATCTAGGTTGCAACATAGCTTTGAATCAGGAAGGAAGAAGGAAGGAATCATAGAGTAGCAAATACTGAGGTTCATTAGAAGGTTGCTGCATGTTTAGAAGGGAGGAAACTGCAGGCTTACAAAATGTGAATCATGATGTTTTCAGCAATTCTAATGAAACTGTAGTGAAACACAATCAACAACCACAAAGCAGAATGCACCATGCATGGTAGAATAATGTGCGCATATACACTGCCAAGTCCAATGACTAATTAAGATTTTACAAGGTGGTTTCATTTTGGTCTGTACTACCAGTTTAGTATTCTCAGATAATATGCTAGTGTACCACAAGAGAAATAATTGCTCTGTAATCCAATTAAGGCAAGGAAGCTATTAATTTCATAGTACTTTGTGTATCTAGAACACCCCGACTGTCTAAAATCTGTGCTTTATTCCAATGCCTATAATAGAAATGTTGAAGAGCTGTGTGATTTTTCAGACAATAAATATTTATGGAAGATATAAAAGGAAACAACTTGCCAATCTGATGATAAATAGTAATTAAAGGTAGCACATCTGGCTAGATTTTTTGTTAATAGGAACCTTAAGCTAAATCATCTACTAGGTACAGTTGCAGAGGAGACATCATCCTAATTGTCTGCAGCCAACTTTTCAGTAATTACATAATCTTGAAATTATTATTTTCAATGAAACTGGTGGGTCTGGGAATTAAAGTTAAGCTTGTTTCGTCTTCCTGCTCTTTTCAATCAATACAAGCACACGTAATAGTGAATTTCGGAGGTGACTGACTTTCTGAGTTACAAAACAAAGGCTGGCTGATTAACACATAATGAATGAGCAATTTTCAATGAAAATAAGCATAATGCAGTAGCACAAAACACCATATTTTATGAGGTATAAGCTGTTTATTCATGTCCTGCTGCAACATGTTGCTCGCTATGGTGCAAATCTTTTGATCTCAGCGTAACTTTTTTCACTGGGCCACATGACAAATGTTTGTTTTGGTGCAAACAGACTCACTTTTAATCATAACAAAATTCACTCTTGGAACACTAATGGTTGGGAATAATACTGTTTGTAAAAGATTTGGTGTAGTCCAGAGGGTCTGAGATGGATTGATCCTGATCTAGTAATTTCATTAGCTGCAGTACATTAGGCAGAGCAATTCTGTCTAATTCTCAATGTACGTTTACAATGACACATGCTTCAGCTTTAAAAATAAATTAATTGTACTGTTTATATAGTAGGAAGCAACTTCTGACCATTTGTTAAACAGTAATATTGTTTTTAAAATATTTGAAATTGCTCATTTTAAAGAATCAATATGTACAATTCAGACTCATATAAAAAGAGTCTTCAGTAAAATATAAAATTCTGAGAGTATACTAATTTGAAATTTAACACTACACCAAATAGTCCTAAACCTCATCAACATACTTTAGTTGGAGGGGATCATCTTAGATGCCCCCTTGTGTTTTCATTTGTAATAAAAACTGCTGTCTAGTTTTCTTACTTATATCGTTAAACTAATAAACTGCAGCTACAACAGATTCTGTAGCCACTTACAGTCACTACACATTTCAGAATACTGGAGCATCCCACACCGTGCGGCACAGCTGTTGACTCAGCACCTTTGATTCGACTACTGTTTTTGTTCAGTAGGCGGATCTTGTTTGCTGAAACACCTTCACAGTGCTCTCACAGGTTTGGCAGCCAAACCAAATTATCTTGGTTTTGGTCAAACAGTAAGCGAACATTTAAAATAGTTTACCAAAGAAGAAAACCATAACCTAAGTAGTATTGTGTGGCTTTTGCATTAGGCAATGTATCAGTGTCCCCATAGCCAGAGACAGGAAATCCATTATAGCAATTTGTGATGTTATCAGCAGATGAAATAGCCTTGTCTATAGATTGATGGGGTACTTTGTTATTGCTCATGAAAACTCCCTATTATAACAGGATGTGGAGACTATGGTCTCTAAATGCTGATACTGAATAATAAACAAACATATTTGGTGAGTCCACCAAATGAGTGGCTCCAGCCTTTTTGATGCGTGACCCCTCAAGACAAAACAATGTCTACTTGGGACCCTTTATCACAGGTTCAGTTAAACCAAAGAGACTTTTTTTGTACATATTTTATACATATCTTTTGAATATTTTTTGAGGTAAAATTCAGATAATTCTGAAAAAAAAACTGACTTTAAATTGCAGAAAAATATTCTTTTGCGTTCTCATCTTGTTAGTTACCTCTCGACAATTTCAATATATCTTTCAGACCCTCTGATGGCGTACCATGGACCCTAGGTTGAGAACCCCTGCACTAAATTGTGTTAGGTTTCTATTAGCACTGAACAAAGACCAAACCTAGTAACAGAAATTGAACTCAGGAGTAATATTATTGCCTGGAAATTCAACTGAATTTAAAACATAATTTCTAGGCTGCCAGAGTTCTGTCTGTTTAAAGTGTAGACCAAACATATCAGATGGCTTCCCTGCCCCGACATGACATCAGAGTTTCCCCAACATACATCACCTTCTGTTAAGTAAAGTGGACTATTCCCTCCCCTCTCTCCACACACCTAAGACTGATGTGTTAGAGTGAAAAATCGGGGCTGTTCCTCACTGTCCATCTGGCTGCCAAACACACGTAGCTGTTTCCTAATAAGACAAGTCAGACAACTCCATACGTCTGTATGAGAGATGTTTTGGAGGCCTTCACAGGTCCAAATTACCAATTGATTTACAGAAAAATGCCATAAGAAAGATAATTTGTCAGTGTTGGTTGTGGACCTGCATATGGATGCTCACTAGTAATAATTGCACTTCTATGGCCACACAACCTGCTCCTAAGGTCTTGATGGAGTGGTGTGAGGAAAAATCACCTGGTTCTCACCAGCAAGACAAAAGAGATGGTGATTGACCTCCCCGGCGGAAATCACCAGCACTCACGCCGGTGAGCTTGGCTTGCAGGGCTCAGATATTCAGATTGTGGACACCTTTAAATACCTTAAATACCTGGGTGTCCACCTCAACAATAAGCTGGATTGGACCAACAACACTGATGCCCTAGTTTGGTCACGTGACGTTCCGCATAACCCCTTATTAAAGAGGAAACAGAGAAGGATGTGTTTACGGAAGTCAGTAAAGTAAATTGTGGTTCCACAACATGGCTTTACAAACTTATGCAGGATTTATTGAAGACAGCAGAAGACATGGAGAGTCTTGCAGTGCAATTTCCGCTGCGCTGTGTACACAGTTTGGATCAACTCGA